CTTAATAATGAATTCATTATTTTATTCCTAAGAATTATATGAAAATTCAATATTTTAAATTAATTTACACAAACTAATCTAACTTATATTTTTAAGCTTTAAATATTAAACAATATTATTGATTTTATTTTTTGATAATTAAATTATTAAAAAAAAAATGTTACACAATATTTTTTTAGCTTGTCAATTTCTAAATATATATATATACTTTATTACTATTAATAAATTATTAACTAAAAATTTTCTAATTATACATTTAAAACTTGTGCTGTAATGTTTCAAAAAAAAAAAAAAAAATACATTTAAAATATAATTAATACAATTTTTTAGAAAGTACATTATATCACTATCAAATGTGATGCCAATGATGTGATTAAATTTAAGTATACATATAATTCACTTTCTGATTATCCATTTTGTGAAAATCTAGTGTGTTACATTTTTAATCATGGTAATTATTCTGAAAAAGTTATTTTATACGTTAAGAGCATCCGGTTAGTAGGTATAAATATAAACTAATGTACGAGTATTTTTACATAGCTGTAAGTATAACTAAAAGTACCAAAAACTAACAAGTCGTAAAAAACAGTAACTAATGCAATATGTACGAGAAACAGTATAATATGTATATACAGGTGTTACAACCATTTCTCAAAATCAAGCCTGTCTCTAGTCTGGAAATGAAGTTTTAAAAACGAATATTGGACTAATGCAACGCGAATTCTCACATCCACCGCCGCCTCAACATGACCGGATGACATTTACCGCAATAATAGTATGTCATATACATACATAATATTTTATACACACAGAATGGTTTGTTTTAAAGCGAACCGAGTGACAAATTATTCACATTGTTATTCGTTCAGTTTAACTTACTTTTCCTGACTTTTGAGGACGTAAAGTTCATTATATTTTCATAATTCAAATACTATGTTTACCCTTGAACGTTCAAAGTAAAAAGTCGGGCAACATCTGTATAAGATCATATCATCCAGTTCGTGTGGTAACGACGACAAAAAAAAAATATCACCCTGTATGCGCATCACGACGTATTGTGTAGTGTGCTCCGCCCCAGTGGTGTGCAGAACAAAGATAACATTACGCAACGTTTACTTTGAATGACATTTTGGCCGAACGTAAAAACCGACCCACTGACACGTCTAACGATAGCAAATTTTGATAACGATAATTAAAATATCGACCCTCACAAAGTCACACAAAGGCCGATACAACTTTGCACCGCCGCAATACAACACGCCGTGAGGTACATGTAACATTATTTTATACGCTGTACGATATACATGGAAGGCTTTTGAATATTATATTATGGCGTGTGATTATGCATTATTATAACGCGACCAAGTGTGATGATGTGTATACGATATATTTTATATTATACTATGGACAAAATAACATGGAATGATAAAGTCACACACAACGTGTTTAAAATCGAATAGTTTTCGTGAACGAATTCAATTGTACACTAATTTATTTTATTTCATACAAATACACGTCGCTTGAAACAAACTCGAACGTCGAAGTTTGGACGATTTAATCGTTATAAGTTTTGAACAGGTTATCCTTAGAGCTGCCATAATGTCGCAGTGGTATATGCATTTAAATCAGCAAAAACATAAATCGTAGTCAGTTATATTGTCAAAAAAAAGTTGGAGATTAAAATATTTAAAAAAATACATCTATTTCGAACTATTCGTTCGATGAATAGTAAACAAAAATTTAATGCAGTAAGCATAAACACTTTATAAGTTAAATTTAATAATATATCTTTTTTAAGTAAGTAACTGTAAACGATATATTAAATTTAAATGCTATTATAAATTATTGAATACAACAAAATTATTTCAAATGAAGATGATCTGTCAGCGTATATTACCTAGAATATTTTATAATATATGTAATTGTTAATAACTACTATTATAATATAGTAGCTATTTATATTACAATTAATAATACGGCAATTTCTGTTGAAAACATCGCATTCATTCTATTATTAGTTATTATAATAAAATATATTCATATCATATATATTTTTGATAAAAACTTTTGAATCATTCCCAACAAAAAAGTGTAAATAGATTCAGGATAAAAAAGGTAATAACTTAAAATTTATCAAAATAATTTGGAAAATTGAATTGTGTAGTATAAACTATAATGAACAATTTCAAAACCCTTTAAACAATATTTTTTTTAAATTACTACAAAATAACAAAAACCATAAATGTTTATTTAAATATTCAATTTTAAGGAATTTGAACTTGAAATATCTATTGTCAAAAATCATGCAAAAATATTTTTAAGATTTTAAGGTTTCTACAGTTACTTTTTACGAAAAATATTTTAAAAATTAATGATTTTGACGACTTACTACTTAAATGCTTAAAAAAATAAAATTGTTTATATCTATATTTTCTATATTTTAAAACTGCTATAAATACAACTTATTTAACATCTTCTATTACATTTTTAAGGGTTTTTTATGACACATTAAATCATTTTTATCAATATAAAAAAATATATTAGTAATATTATAAGAATATTAATGTAATAATGTGTATAGAAAATGATAATTTAAATAAATATGGATTGTTACTAGTGCTAACAATTAAACTAATTATTTAAATTAAAATACAATATCAAAAATCGTTTGAAGAGAGATTATTATTTTATATACGAATATTCTAAACTTTTGAAAGTCATAAAAAATAATATTGTATATTTTGAAATTATACTCAACTTTTTAGATTCTAAGTGAAACAATGAATGTATTAATTTTACAATAATGCGCTGTTTAACTATGCGTGAAAAATAGCTTCAATTTTAAACTTAAATATTTTTTCTGTTATAAGAGTGAATATAGTTTGTACTTTTTTAATATGAAAATTAAAAATGACCAGTTTTAGAAATAATTATTGAGGGAAAATAATAAAAAAATTAGTTTTTTAACCTAATTGATTTTCTTATTTATTTGTAACGTATAACTGTGAACACTTGAAATGTTCACAAAATGTTTTTATAGTTTTTATAAGCATTTTTCGACCTTAGTATTATTTCAAAATATTTCTTATCATTTTAAACTTTTTTTTAAACATTGAAAAATTTTAATTTTTTTTTTTTTAATAATTATAGATAAAATATATTTGCTTGGTTTAAAAGCTTTAAGATTTGATCCAAGATTCTTTTTAAATTTTGATAAGCAAATTTTTTTTTTAAAAATACATGAAGTTTAAATTTAGATTAAATTAGATATTCAAACGATAAAAAAGGATTTTAGTTATTACTTATTTTATTATAATTATTCGGAAATATTATTCGCAGAGACTTAAAACTTTTACGTATATTAATATATTGTTATATTTTATACATGCAAAGTCATATTCAAAACATTCAGATTAATTTTAAGTTCTTGTGTATATTTTGTACCAGAACTTACCGACGAACCTATTTACACCGTTCTACGGTAAGGCGCTATTAACACAAAAGTTAGTAACAATAATAAATTATATGAATATTTAATACATAGTATTATAATAATCAAACATAATAAATGGAATGTTTCAGTAAATATTAATTCTGTATTGCTGAAAATAAAGTAAATTATTTGAATAACAATATAAATATATTAAAATTATACTTATACAATAGTGTAAAATAGCAAACCGTTTTTGCTTTGAATCATTTTTTATATACGATTATTTATCATAGAAATCAAATTTTACACGTATATCTCAGTGGCTTACTTAATGAAGAGAAATACATTTGACATATACTGTACAGCAAAGCGATTAACTACTGTCTTTTTTATTTTATAATTTAACAATTAAATCATTTTGTAAATGTTTGAATGATTGTGATTGATGAATTTCGTAAAAATTCAAAACTTTAAATGTTTATGAGAAAATTATTTACAATATTTTTTTTTGTTTTCTCTAAGAAAAACTCATAAAAAAATCTTATAGTATATCAATCATTTATACATACAATTAAAAATTTAAACAAACATAATTCAAAAAAAAATAAAAAGTCAATTATTTAAAATATTTATAAAAAGAGTCAATAATTTTTTAAATTATATTATGATATTCCATAATTTCATAAATAATTTTTTTAATTCTTTGTGATTTTTTTTTTTTTTTGAATTAGATGAAACAAAATTTAAAAAAAATAAATTAAATTGGTCCAAATCAGGATAAGCATAAAAATTTTAGCTTTTTTCGATTAATTAAAAAATTATTAGACATATTTACTATTTACTTCCTAAAACTTTTATGTTGAAAACCAAAGCATTTTTTAAAGTTGTATATTAAATACACACACTCAAAAAAAAAAAAAACAAACATTCATCATTGTAAAATAAATTCATTCATCGCTCCACTCAAAATCTAAAATGTAATTTTATTTTTTTATTTTAAACAATTAAATATAATTGTATAATACTTGCTATTTAAGAAAAACATCATCAATTAAAAATGTATATTACAGATTACGACAAACAGAAAATTAATGACTGATATTATGAGATTAAAAATATATTTGAACACATTACAATAGCTGTACATGTCTGCAGATTTGAATGTAAACAGGTCTTAAAATAATAATGTATTAAATTATTAAACTTAAATAGTGTGGAATTCGGTCACAGATTCCGAAACCACACTCGGTTCGACCCATCAACAGACGATCCCCTATTTAATTAGACTTTCGAATATTCTGCACCAAATAATCAGCATACCCATGTCCAAATATCAGAAATACACACACGAGCACTACGCATCTTATGTATAATTTAATACTATGTATAGTATAATGCATGGAAAATTACGTGATTCGAGGACAACGTGAACGCAATAATATTCCATTCCAGATTTTGTCATATGCGACGAGCAGCAACGATGACACAATACACACTGGTACCGGTTCGCATCATTGTCGCCGATCCGGATTATTTTCATTTTTTTCACCACCACACAACTCTGGGGGTATTCGTTGTATACACCCACAATCGTATATATAGTCGGTAGACCACGTTCAATAATCATCATTCAATCGAGCATTGTCCAGCCGTCTACATTCAAAATGATGAAAATCGTAAGTATTTAATATAATAATGTTCTTTATTACTGAACTATATTATACGTACTAACTTATATGTACTATAATGATTTTCTAGCGATTTATAATACCGGCATTGCTTACTATAACGTGAGCACTTATGGTAAAATAATATCGATGACTTTACTTGAGAGCAATAAACGGTGTTCATATGAAACTACACTAAGTTATATTTTCTTTAATAATCATGACGTATTGTTTGTGTGTGGTTTCAGGCAACAGCTCTTGCTATATTGGTGGCCGTAGCACTTGTCAGTGCTGACGCGTCCAAAGATGACAAGAAAACGGCCAAAAAAGAAAAAAGATTCGCTAGTAACTTTGAATACGGACTGTCTGGTCTGGGCTCTGGTCTGGGCTACAGTTCCGGTCTAGGCTACGGCTCCGGTCTGGGATACGGCTCCGGTCTGGGATACGGCTCCGGTCTGGGATACGGCTCCGGTTTAGGCTACAGCTCTGGTTTGAAATACGGTTCCGGTTTCGGCTACGGCTCCGGTTTAGGATATAGCTCTGGTTTAGGATACAGCTCCGGTCTGGGATACGGTTCTGGCTTGGGCTACAGCTCAGCCTTGAAATATGGTTCTGGTCTAGGACTATCATCCGGCTTAGGATACTCCAGTGATGCTATCGTCACCTCTGCCGCAGCCCCAGCTCCGACTACCGGCCCCCTCGTACCGATCTCCAAGGAAGTGCACATCATCAATCGTCATGCCCAACCAGTGTCCGCCCCGTATCCAGTGCCAGTTCAACACGACGTGCCCGTCGCCGTACCACACCCCGTACCCTACGCAGTCGACAGCCCTTACCCAGTCAAAGTACCTGCCCCATATCCAGTGCCGGTTGAAAGACCAGTCCCATACGCAGTCGATAGGCCAGTCCCTCATCCAGTAGCTTCACCATATCCAGTTCCAGTAGTCCATGACGTTCCCGTACCTGTGTCCAAACCATACGCTGTTCCAGTAGTCAAACAAGTTCCAGTGCCGGTAGCCAGCCCAGTCGTCGTACACCAACCTACTCCACTGATCGCATCCAGCTACAGCTCTGGACTTGAAACGTCTGCCATCGGTGCCAGTTACGGTTCTGGTTACGGTTACGGTTCCAGTTACGGATTATCATCCTACGGATCTGGAAGCCACTACAGTGGATCATTGGGATACAGCAGTGGAGATCTTTCTCTACACGGTCATGGACACAGTTTCGACTACAAAAAGTAGAGCTCTCAAACGTAACTCCAACTCAGCCAACAATGAATCTACTAAACTTTTATTTTATACCATGTATATTTTTATAGACAATTTTTCTTTTTATAATTGAAATATTGTTAATAACAAAAAGTTGTTAATTAAAATAAATACTTTTATTTTTTTTCATATTCACGTATCATCATTATAAGTTAAATAACTAAATCCTAAATTAAGCTATTGAATTATAGTAACCGTTCTTTTAATTATTATTTTTAGACTAAAACATGATGGAGTAATATTGATAATTTCCGAAAGTAAAAGAGTAATAATAATTAAAGGCATACTCTTTTGGGCCAAAATTAACCTTTCCCTTTTCGGCAGGTGTAACTTTCTTAGTATTCAGTAATAACCATTTTCAACCAGCATACTATTTTGGTCACCAATATAAAATTGAATTATTAATTTTATTTAACTTTAAAACTTTATCACCCGTTTTAGATTTATATTGGCTGTTTGCTTTAAGATTATCATATTTCCAAAATATTATAATTGTATATGGTATACAATGAGCATTTAGGAGGATTTTCTGATGTCTAATGATATTGTCATTTATTTATTCGTGTACAGTATAGAGTCAAGTGTAGTGTACTAGTGTGTTTGAGAACTGCAACGTAGTCGCTAATGTACTAGTTTTAAAAATTCACTGGCATTTATTTTAACAATTGTAAGCACTTAAAACAAGCATACAAATTTAATACTGTTTTATAATGTTGTTATTCTACATTGGTGGTTAAAAATAAATACTAGCCGAAAATACTTATTACAGAATAGCCGAAAAGGAAAAGGTTTTACTTAGGTTGAAATCAGTTTCGCCCATAATTAAGAAAGTATTGAATACTTTTTGGTTATTATTTTTAATTTGGCAATTTTAATACAAGTTTCCACAAATAATATATTTAATAATGACAAAATAATTAAAATCGTTTTTGTTTTAAAAAACAATGATTTCATTTATATATTTCTTATATTTTATGTATAAATATAAACTACTTATGAACAATCTTGTATAATATTTTCAAGAATTTTATTTAGTGAATAAATTTTTATCAATATTAATAAAAATATTTTAGAGTTTATTTAATTTTTTTTTCTTCTTGTAACATTATATTGAGTAAATTTGATTAATTTTATTTTATGCATTTTTCTGTCCATCTTTAATTTTTTTAATCAAAAAATATGCTAATTAGAAATCTTCTCAGATATTTGCCTTTTAACTTTAACATTTAATCAAGAAAACATCTATTTCAAAATAATTTTATAGTTTTATAGTAAATTAATTTTATTATTAATATTTTGTAACTAAAAATTTGTATAGTTACATATCTAAAGCTAATTTAACAAAAAAATGTTAATAATTTTCTTCAACTTAAATTTGCTTAAACATTCAGACACCTGTATTTTTTGGTGTTGTAATGTTTAATGTATGATTGTAATAAATAAACGTGTAAATAATTTATTTTATATGCCTCATATTAATTATTCTACTATTGGTGGACATAAATAATAAGAAACAAAATTATCGTTTTTAATTTATTTATTAATTTAGTTCCTAATTAAAGTTAATAAAAATAAATATTAAAATGTTTTATTATTATTTAATACGGCAATATTTTATAATTAAAAATGTGGAATTATAATTATTACGCAATATAATAACGAAAGAAATGTATTTATTTATCAGCAAACAATAATTTTACTATTAAAATAAACGAAAAAAAAAATGTGTTTAGTTCACTTTATATAATATAACCGAATATTGCACAACCCAATATATCACAAAGACTTCGTAAGCCTCGAAACGTTATGGTGATATCTAATTTATATGTAGTGGCGTTTCAAAAGTTATGTGCGTGTTTTTTTTTTTTTTTAACACTGATTAGTTTGAATACAAGCGGGTAGTTACTGGCTCCAACAGTATGGAGTTTTATAAATGACATTATACAATCAAGTGTGTATTTTTATACGTAATTATTAAAGTTTGTCTTCCCCGTACGATCATACATTATAATTGCGCGTTTCAACGTTTCATAATTATTTATAGATATATTTTCGTTCGTGTTTTGCCCCATTTATTAACTCCTATTTATTTCCATAAATAATTCAACTTTGATAATGATAGGTTGTTATTTTCATCTAAATATTCTAAAACAACAATAAATTACGGTTAAATAATTCATATGATTTGCCGACGTTTTGCGCATGAACTCTCCACAATAATATAAAAAGATACTGTTTAGGTAATATAATAACACGTTCGTTGACATTAAGTATACCTACATAATACCAATAAAATATGCGAACATCATAATATAGACAGCTTTGTGTACAGAGGTTCAACTATCTAAACACTAGAGATAGGTGTGATGCATGGACACAAGTAACACTTAAAGATTGTTTCATTTTTCAAATATTACTTACTAACAATATATTATGTGTTAAAATTAAATACGTTATTATTTTTAAACCTTAAGTATTTTTAAAATATTCAGTGAGAAATGATTGTAAATTGTGGACATTTAAATGCGATTTTGATGTAAAAATATTGTTGTATAACAGCTATAATATTTTGAATAAAATTCGGATGTTAAAAATATTATAGTTAATTTTTTATTGGTCTAATTAAAAACTATATTATCTATACATTTGTAGCATACTATGAAAGATTATGACATGAAATGTTATTTTGCTTGATTTGATTTATTGTTTTTTTTTTCGTTTTTATTATTATTTACTTGTAAGTTATTATGTTTGCTTTTTTTAAAGCATACATTTTTTTATAAAATATGTTTTAACTGTGTTTTGGAAATATTCGAAAGGTTGATATTTATTTCTATACCATAATTTCTATAGAAATTGATCCAATAAGTATTATCTTATAGTTTTAAATTAATGAAATGATACGGAAAATAAATTTAATTTCATAAAAATATCGTTAACTTATATGATTACCTAGGTGAAAAATATAAGCTAAATTAAATATTTACATAATTATTTAGATAACGCAATGTCTACTAGCTGCTGTCACATTGTATGTTTCATAAATATTATTTAAAATTTTTTTTTTATAATTTGTCATATTTAAAAAAAAAAAATAATTGTAATATTTTTTTTAACCAACTGTCATAAGTAACAGTAATACGGATTGCTTATATTATAATGTTGACTAAAATTACCTAATACGTCAAAATTAAAACTTCAAATAAATAATAAGTTATTTTAAAAAAAAATTAAAAAATTATAATACTTTTAAATTTTTTTATTTTATTTTAAGTACTTTTTTAACGTTTTATAGAGCTACAACATCCTATATTTTTATTTTAATAAATAATTATTTCTTCATTTATATTTTATAGTTAAATCTGCATAGTGTATAGTATTAAATATATAAAATTTTCGTTAAAATTAGTAGATAGATATATTATATAAATTCTTAACAGTATTATAGAGGCATATTTCAACATTTAGTTAAGAATTACTGGGTTAAAAATTATTAAAATACGATAATTTTTTTAAAAAAAACTTCTTTTTTTTTATTCAACAAACTTTAGTGGTAAGGAGCCGATTAGTTGGGCTAATTGAAAGTTGATTCATTTGTTTGAGCATATAGTAGTTTTCACCAATAATTTATTTTCTTAATATCTTTCCTACGTCTGACCTATGATAAATTATAAATTATTCGTGCAGACATGCTATTATCAGTAGAAGTCACGTGGCCATAATTTTCAAGTTATTTAAACTAGACTTTGGATAAAATAATTTAAGTTTTAGGAAAGTATGTAATATATATTTATAGTCACTTTAATATTTAAGATATTCACGTATCATAATTATACCTAGTTGTAACTTATTATATATTACTATTATTTTTATTATCATATATGCTTGTTGTTTGGTTTTGTTATAAGTACGTTTGGGTATAGGAAAGGATTAATCGATTGTAGAAAAACAGAATATATATGTATTTATATTTTTTGCGAAGCTATTGTTTTTGACAGTTAATATAATACCAAACCACCAATACATAATCCAATAGGTACAACATTCATACACGCAAAAAACCAAATGGTAAATGCATCACAACAACACACGTTAAAATTGAACTTGTCACCGACCGAAACTCTACAAGCAATATCTTACATAATGTAGGTATGCGTTAAAAGCAACTTTGACAGGTTCAAACAGCCCACACAATATAAGACATAAGTATATGAATGTAATAAGTTATATTAATATATACGAAAACTACATAAAGTACATCGAAATGCAAACAAGTATATACTTATACAAAAACACTTATATTTATATGCGCTCGCGTGTATGGGTCGAATTATTATTTTATTACAATTTTATAAGGACGTTGCTACAACAGCTAAACATGTATAAACCTAATTTTTTTGTTTTTATTTTTTAGTTTAATGACAAATTTACGAGCTACTATGTTCATAGAATATTATGTTTAAATCGTCTTTTTTTTTAACCCAGCAATAGCGGGTTTTTAGGACATCACTATTATTATTATTAGATAACTCACATCATTTGGTATAATATTATGTAAATGAAGTCGTTCGACCGGTAACCAGTAAGATATATATAAAAATATTTATGTTTAAATAATAATTCATTTATATACTATCATATGTACACATACATACATGCAATGTGTAAGTACCAAGCTATTACATTAACCACGGATAGCTGTCTCAGTTGCACAATGAAACATAATATTTTTAATATTTTGGTACTTTATGAATCGATGCTATAATTAAAAACGACTAATGTATTTATCATACAAAAATGTTAAAACTTTTAAAACTATTTTAAAACATATCATTTTTCTAAACTGGTTTTACTGAAGTTAATCAAAATCATCCGTTTTATTTGATTCGACAAAATAAGTACATATAATTCTGTATAAAAAAATTCAATTCAAACAAACATTTTCACATTTAAAAAATATTATTAAATATATCACTAATTTTGTGTGATAATCGAGTCTCCAAGTATAAAATCCTTACAACATACAATCCTATTACTTGGCACAAAAACTACGACTCGCCCCTGTCCGTTAGTAACTTAAC